ACCTTTCACCTCTTCATCACTTGAATCCATTATCGTTGAAAATTCTCTGTCTCGAATCTCGATTATAAAGAGTATGTTCCGAAATACAACGCAGTGTACTGTCCAATGCAAATGACGTATCATTTGACACTTTATTGTACTAGCGTGCCGCCGCCATATTGTGTCGGATATCCGGCCATAGTGTGTTTGCTGAATGAAGCATGCCAGAATTTGTTTCTATTTATTCAAATACAAAAAATTTTAGAATAATTGATGGTATATCTATTAGAAGGATGTAATGATATTTGGAGCACAAAATAACAAAATAATCGCCAACACTTTTCCAAATGACGCAAAAGTATGACGTCATATACTGTCCAATGTTTTGGAACGAATCACCAGATAGCGCCGATTCATGACGTCATTTGCATTGGACAGTACACTGCGTTGTATTTCGGAACATACCCAAAGTGTCTACAAGTACAAAACGTCAAACTTATCTTTCAACATAACAATATTTCTACAAATTTGTTTTCAAACGTTTCGTTTCTGCAGATATAAGCTGAGAACAAATTATCGGACGCGGCTGACGGACGCGGCTGACAGCCGCGGCTTATTGAGATCTAGCCAGTACATTCTGTGCAAACTATCGGCCGTAAGACGCGGACATGACCTTGCGTCGCTCTTGAGCTTTCGGACGTCCGAACAGAATCTGGCCGGCTGGATGTTTGGTGCGTCCGCGGACAGTGTGAACCCGCCTAAGGGTATTAGTGTTCTGTGGTGTGAACGGGGCACGGGACGCGTCCGCGGACGTTTCGAGTGTCACAAGCGAACCAACTGCGCTAGCGACATGATGTGTAATGAAAAAAAAAATTAATTGAATGTGTTCATGGCCCCGAGTGCCTATATTTATAAGTACATATTAGTACATTCATAAGTACATTTTTTAACGTTTATCATCTTTTTGTAAGTCTGGATACAATGTATGAAATTCATCATACTCGAGTCGTTTTATATTAATATCATGGACAAGGAGTGTTTGGGTTCTCTATTTTTTGAAGGACGACATAAAGCAGCTGCCGCTAACTTTATAAATTCGTCCTCGCTGTCACTGTTTGTCATGTTTCTCGATTGACAAAACCTTTCTGGAATGACCGAAGCGAGGCGTCCGAGGACGCCGTCTCAGCTACCGTGCACACCGCTAAGCCGCGTCAGTCAGCCGCGGCTGACGGTCTGTTTATTTGTTTGTTCGATTGTTTGTCTGACCTTTAGGGGTATATGTGTTCTGTGGCCGCGGCTGACGGACGCGTCCGATAATTTGTTCTCAGCTATATAGATATAATGGGTGCGTTTGGCAGAAAAAAGCGCTAGCAAGCGCTTGTAAGCAAAATGGCGATCGTAAGCGGTAAGCGCTGTCAAATCGTAAGTAGCTATTTTCTAGAGATGAGTCGTACTAGGTAAATTTCGTACTAGGTGCACCTAGTGCAATTCCGTATAAATACTCGATCCAAATACCTGTTCCACCTAGTCCATAAAGTATCAAGTACACATAAAGTTTAGTATTGTTGGAATAGGAATAGGATACGCTATAGTTTCAAGTACCATATTTTACGTGCGTACTGCTGAAACGTGTGCAATAATGAATTCATACATCTTCCCTTCATACTTTACAAAATTATTATAATTATTCTCGTAACTAAATTACGAGAATTAAGGTTATATGAGAAATAAATTAAGATCATTTACTTCCAATTACTTCAAATGCTACTTAGTAGTACTTCATATTTTGTAAAATTTGTTTTAAAAGATGTTTATCTTTGATTTATTGGAAAAACTCTAGAATGGGAGTACTCACCTATTGATTTTATATGTCTTGATTTTAAGCTGCTATGTTTTTTTACTATTGCTATAATTCTATAATTGGTTCATGCAGCTCATACTAATGACGGAAGGGAGAATTTAAAGTGGATTATTTTCATTTATCTCTCATATAATCTTAATAGTAACGAGCCTAATTATAATATTTTTTTAGAATGTTGTTTGCATAATTCTTATAAATAACATTAAAAAAAAAGAATTGTTCTGAAAAATAAAAAGTGAGTTTGTCAGTTCCGGCGCACGAATGAAGTTCACTCCTTACGAACGATTATAAAATATATAGATTAGTAAATGTGGGTAAATGAACGCATTTTTATACTACTAAAAGCATGCATGACACATTTACTTATATTAATTATTTAATGTATATTCATCAAAATATATAATCATCGAAACGTAAATTGTTTACGCTTCCAATACTATGTTATGTAGTCATGGAAACATGAAAACAGCGTCCACCGAGATCACATTCGCATGAGTCCGTACCGTATTTGACAATAGACACTCGCCTGCCTTGTACTCTTGTATAAGTATTTGGTTGAACTAGTCCGAGTTCCGACTAGTCTCGTACTAGTATTTGGTTGAACTAGTCCGAGTCCCGACTAGTCTCGAGTCTCGAGTATTGAAAGACAAAGATAGAAATACTACGGAATAGTCTAGTTAAAAAAGGACAGAATATATTATTACACAACAAACACGAGTGCGCGTCACGTTACCTTTATGTTCATTAAAATTTGGTTCAAATTCAAATGACTGACAAACTAATGATTTAGGCAAAGACGACCCGAGTTGAGCGCCTAGTAACTACAGTCTACGGCAACAAAATACGAGTACGACGCGTAGGCACAGTGAGACTAGATGGATCAAGTATTTTAAAAGTTGGAATAGGTGCAACCTAGTCTCGTTAAATACTTAGTCCCTGGATCTGTTCTAGTATATACGCTTCATCTCTACTATTTTCCTCCAGGACACGATGTTAGTTTTAACCGGGGGAATCTAACCTAATTTAAATATATGTTTGTAAAGTATTCATATTAAAAACTTACCAATCATGAATTTTTAATAACATGTATATGTCTATTTATCTCATTATATTACTTAAAACTAATATTGCACAAAACAACTTATAAACTCTACTTCAAAACAAACAAATTAAATAAGCAAAATGGCGAATTGTGTCAGCGCTACTGAAGTAGCAATCGTGTCCTGGCCGAAAACTATTTTAGCGCTTGTAAGTGCTTGCTAGCGCTTTTTTCTGCCAAACGCACCCAATATAGTTATATGCACAGACTAACAGTGTTTAAAACATGTTTTTTTGTGAAAATCGCCTCAGTGCAAACGCACGGTCATTCTGTGGTTAACTGTCAGTGTCAGTGTCACATTTATTATTATATGAAATCGTAAAAATCGATGTAAATTTTGAAATTGTGCCATACGTATTTAATAATATTGCATCCTACTCTTTTTAAAAGACAGGTCAGTCTCCACTGCGTATTTCTGTCTACTTACTTTAGTTTGATATGGAAGCAAAAATAGTGTAAGTTTTGTTTACTAGCATGACTGGTGATCAAAGCCCTGGCAGCCCTTTAGACCTTAGCGATCGTGAAAAAGCTGTTCTGATGGATCCTATAGATCATGACCGATGTAGATACCCTTATTGCATCGTTTGGACCCCCATTCCAGTTTTAACGTAAGTATATTACAGTCCTCATCCTTATGGTAACCCTCTGTCAGAGGTGTGTAACATTGATTATAAGATTATAACACAAAATATATAGTTGCCAAATTAAATATTATTATTGTAAAATTATTCATTATTTTTTTAATTATTATGACATTTTGATCTTTTTTTCAGCTAATAATTTTTTTTACCCCCCCCAAAGAACAAAAAAAAAATTATTATTAATTAATTAATTATTAAATAACTAATAAATAATTGAAAAAAATGTGCAGTTACATGAATTCGTTACTAAAACAATAAGAACATGACACCAATGTATCATTACTCATTACATTTTGTTAGAGTTGACTATAGTCGTTAATTATATTATGTGTGGGTCTTTGTAGTACTTCATACATTTCTCATTTCGGTATAACTCTGTAGTTTCATTTCATGCTGCAGTATTTATTTGAAACTGCTTAATACTTAATGAAATTAATTGATTTGGTTAAGAATAACAGTACTGAATTCTAATATATAATACTTTATGTTTGTGTGTTTGTATTTTATGCGCTGCCACTGCAACTTACTTGTTTACACTTGTGGGAAGGTTATAGGCATAGTACAATTCACTTACAGTAGGTGGAGCGAGTATCATACTGATAAATTTATTTGAAACTCATATATCAATCAATTTTAATGAATGTATTATTATTTTTTACTAAACAATTAACTTCCAAATTTAAAAGAATATTTCCATTAATTTTCAATTTTCAAAAATCGAGAAAATTTCTTTTGCCGCAGAAACATGCATGGTACTATCTAGTTTACTATAATGCTTGGAAGAAGTCGCGGGCATTAAGGTAGTTATTTATGTATATTTAATAAAATGTTCTAATGACAAAATTTTATTAAATGAAAAATGTTACAACTCATTAAATGAACAATAATGTAAGCTTTACATAATACAATGCACCTCCGTAGCTCAGAGAGCCGTGGTAGCTCAGATGGTTAGCACTTGCTATAAATTTCACATTACGCGAGCCTGGTTCAATCTCCTTTGGCACTAATGATACTGTTAATTGTGATTTTAAGATCTGATTTACCACATGCTCGGCAGTGAGGGAAAATTCTGTAAGGAAACTTGCATGTTTGAGAATGATAGGAGACTGTGACCAGCATTAGGATGTATAATAGACTGTAACTTTAACTTTTACAAAGTACAATAAATGAAATTATTATCATATTATATAGCAATAATTAGTCAAAAATGTAATCTTTAAATATAAAAATAAAAAATAATTACACCTTTCATTCATATTGATTGCACCATAGATTTATTTGTAAAATTTCAGGTTTTTGTTCTGCATGCAGTAATGTATTAGTTTTGAATAGTGTGTAGTGTTATAAAAAATCCTTATTAACAAAATATATTTGAGAGTATCAATTCAATACCATTTTTTGACCGTTTGCCATAGCTCAATCAATCAATAAGTTGTAAGAATGGCTTTGTTGCATGCGATTTCAAATAGTCTCTCTATAAAATAGATTTCTTTTGTTAGTAATCTTGGATTAGCTTTATAATAAGAAACCTCAGTTTCAACTGATTTAAAAAAAAATAGGCAGTAATTAAATTAAACTGCACTAATTTTTTTTAATACACAATTAGGGTTTGGGAATTCCCGACAATTTTAAAGTCCCGGGACACGAGACAGTCTACAATCAAAGACCCGGGAATTCCCGGGACTTCGAGACTTTTAAGATCAAATTTTTAAAGAGGGGTAAGCCTTTTTTGATGAATTTTAATTGAGTCAATTTCTCGTAAAACATATTAGAAAAGGCAATGTTTTTGTAAAAATCAACATTTTTATAAAACAGAAAATTAACTTTAACGTTAACTTCAGTCTTAATAATTTCTTTGTTTATTTCTTTAAATTACACACACATTCACTTTTTAAGCAGTTAAATCTAAAAGTTTTTTTTTTTTTTTTTTTAATTTTTTTTTAATATAACTATTACACGTACGGAGCTGGTTGCGCGTTTCTGCGATTTGATACATAACGCGCTTTCCTTCTCCTCATATTACTACAATTCTCAACATTTTTTTAACATATTATACATAGGTGTTGTTCGGTGAAAATAATCGTTTGATTGACATTGACGTTTTGTTATTTATAGACTCGCGCATGCCGCGCACCCCGTTAGACTAAAAACGGGATGACAATAAAATGAAAATAATGAAATGAAATTTAAAATAAAAACTAAAAACAAAAAAAAAATTGTCTTAACTTTAAACTAGAGCTGTTATATAATGTCTCTAGTATAATGAATTGGTACAATGATGACAAACTGGTTAAATAATCCTATAATATAAAACAAAAGTGGAATAGTGTAGTCTTATCACTAAATACGGACAGAGTACAGAGTAGCATAAAGAGAGTGAACTTAAAGGAAATAAATACACAGAATAATGTTAAATCTAAACACAAAAATGACGGAATAATTTAGTGACAATGAAATTGACAAAGTAACATATAAAGTATTCTTATGTCTAAACATATACAAATTGTTATTAAGACCGTTAAATTCGAATAAAATAAAATTTAAATGGAATAAACACACAGGATAATCTTAATACTAAACACAATAATAACATTTATATAACAAAATAACATAATAACAATAAAATGAGTGTAAAATAAATCAAGTGTAATCTTAATTCTAGGCACAAAATAACATGGTATAATGACACAGTCAAGTAGAAAATTTAAAGAAGACTGTGAGAAGTCTTTGTTCCATGAGCAACAAAATAAAACAAAATGGTATTCTTAAATTACTATGGACAAAATGATATAAAATAAAACTAGAGGTAATCTTATTCCCAAACATGGCCAAATGCTTTGTTAACGATGGGGTAAAATATTAAGAGTATGAGGGGTAATCTTAGTCCAAAAAAAAATTAAATGACATATGTAATACAATAACTATGAATAATTTTTATTTAAAGATTAGTTTAAAGAAAAGGTACTTAATAACTAGTTGTTTCTATTTACATATGTACAGCTTTTATTAAAGTTTTTGAGGTTTTTAATGATGCTATTAACAAATTGCATGAAGGAATCCAGAAGGGATTCCTTCTTCATTAAGTTAATCAGGTTAAACGGAGAGGTTCTTAAGTTTTCACACCTCATCACATGACTAAGTCTTTGTACTGAAAATGCAGGGCAATGCTCTATAAGATGCTCCAGCGTCTGTGGGGTGTAATTGTTGCATGGGCAATAATTATTATCGGTTATTTTAAAACGGCATAAATAATATTTGTGGAAACCGTGGTTGGTGAGCACCTGGGTGAGGTAAAAACTTGGTTTGGTGAGGGTGCATAGCCTCTCGATATCCTCCAGTGTCGGAAGCAGTCGTTTGGTATGTTGGCCCTGTTCTGCGCTATAATACCTAGCTTGCCAGGTTGCACGGTTTTGAGTTCTGATGATTTGTTTAAGGTACGAAATGGGATAGGCCGAGTAATCAGGCCGTCTGTGTAACTTTGAGCCGGCATTCGCAGCAATGTCTGCTGCCTCATTACCAGCTATGCCTGAGTGACCCTTGACCCATCGCAACTCTATGATGCCTATTTTACTGTGTTCATGAATAATTTGGTGTATTTGTGTGATAATGGGGCGTGTGTTGCTTCTGTTCTGTATGGCATGTATGGATGAGAGTGAGTCAGTGTAAATGATTGTGCGCGTATTTGTGTTCTCTGATCCACCTGCATGCCTGTAAAATGGCAAACAGCTCGGCTTGGAACACTGTGCATGTGTAATGCAGTTTAAATTTTTTGGTGAAGGCTATTTCATCAAGATTTGTTGGAAGATATCCAACAAATGCGGCCCCCACTGCACCATCCTCCTGTTTACTTCCATCCGTAAATATACAGTGTGTGGTCTGTCCATGTAGAGGTTGAATTGATAGGTAATTTGTATAGGTTCTGTTCGTTAGGGAGATACGTTGGGCGGGATGAAGTAGCTCGGAGACGGGGGTGGGTTTTTCTAACGGAATATCGCTGGGGATGTGGTCAGAGATACCCCGGAGCCGAGCCCTTTCCACAGCGCAGACTTCTCGGACTTTCAGGTCCAGAGGTACGAATTGGGCTAACGCTAGTGCAGCGGCTGTGGAGACCGTACGGAATCCCCTAATAGCCTTGATGGCAAACCCGCGCTGCATGCTCTCGAGTGCCCTCCTGATGCACCTTTTCTGGGCGACGTGACCCCAAATTCCCGCAGCGTAGGTGATCGTTGGCATGATGACCTGCTGGTAGATGGTGCTGATGTTTTCAGGATGGGCTCCCCAAGTGGGTCTCGAGTACATGCAGAGCGTGTTGAAGATCCGCACGGCCCTGTTAACTACGTGTTTCACATGTTTACCGAAATTCAATTTCTCATCGAGGATTACTCCTAAAAGTTTCACCTCTGGAACAAAACAAAGTCGGTGTCCGTCGATGTTAATGCTGGCTGTCTTAGCCTTAGGAGTGAAGGCAATGAGTTTAGTCTTGGTAGGGCCGAATGCCAACTTGACGCTTCTTCCCCACTCGATTATGTGATGGAGAGCCAAGTTGGCAGCGCTTTCCAGTTTGCCCGCACTCGCGGCCGTAACAACCAGCAGGACGTCGTCCGCAAAGGCCTGTATGTGGCAACCCGCTGGAAGCTTGGTGTCGAGTAATTCGTCTAATATTATGTTCCAGAGAACAGGGCCGCACGTGGAGCCTTGGATGCAGCTCTTAGACATCGTCTTGGTGACCCGCCCCCTGCATAGTCGAGAATGACCTCCCGATCGCGGACATAATCCTGAATGAGTCCAAAGATGTTATTAGGACATTGGATATGCCGCAATCGGTGGAAAAGTGCCGGCCACCAAGCGTTATCAAAGACTGCTTTTATATCTAGAGATATAGCGATACTTAGTTGCTTATTACTTTTCGCTTGTCTTATTATATCGAGCGCAGTGTTTATAGCTTCGCACGTGTTGGTCTGTTCGCGGAAACCGAACTGAAATTTGTTTAACAGATTATTTCGTTGTGCATGGTATGTGACTCTTCTGATGAACAGTTTTTCCAGCAGCTTGCCGAACACAGGTATCAGGCCAATAGGACGAAATGACTCTAATGCGCTGTAGTCAGACTTACCCGGCTTCGGGATAATTTTGACAAAAGCGGTTTTCCACTGGTTAGGGAAGTGTTGGAGTGCAAGACAGCGGTTAAGAATGTCAGTCAAGAGTCTAGGATAGTCTGTCACAAACTGTAAACATATGTCTGATGTTAAGTTGTCGAGTCCGGGGAGCCTTTTTTGGGATTCATTTGTCTTAAACACTCCAACACCTCCTCCTGAGTGAAGGGAGGGTCGTAATGGGACTGAGGAGAGTTGGTCATGTCAGATCTTAATTCGTGATGTCGTGGTAAGGTGTCGGGTGAGTCACCCGGGTAAAAATGGTCCAAAAGTGCCTTAGCAGTCTCCTGGCTATTGGTGGTGTAAGTACCGTCTCTGTTGAGGGTAACTGGTGGGCGCCTAGGGGTGGCAGTTTTGAGTAGCCTATTTGTGAGTGACCAGACATTTTCCTTAGTTTGCAACTCGCAGAACTCACGAAAATGCCTGGTCGACTCATCACGCATTTTGCTAGCGTAAAGTTCCTTTATAGATTTGCGTGCCTCCAAAATCTGGTCCAAAGGCAAACCTTGGCGTTTAGCAGCATGAAGCTGGTGGTGCAAATCCACCACTTCCCGCTTGATGGTCTCCAATTCCTCCGTCCACCAAGGAGCCTTCGGCTTTGTTCCCCGGCCTTTAACATGCATGCTTGCCCGGCATGCAGAGTGGATCACATTAGTGAGCTCTAAAATGAACTTAGTTAAAAATCATACTAATTCTTAATAACTTTACTTTTAACTAGTAATCCTAGTATCTAATCTTTGGTCATAATCACAACATTGTTAATTCTCATAATCACAGATTTGTTTCATAGTTAAATAATCTAAATATAAATAATAAACCACACTTATAAATTAATATTTTAAATAATCAACTAACACATTAATTAGACTTCTTTGCTGATTAAAATAGGATTAAATATAATAAAAAAGGATTTAAAAAAATCAGAGTTTGTCCAACAATCTGTTTCTGGTTTTTGTAATAATGTCACCGGACAAGAAGAATACGCTCTATTTTAATTCTTTGGTAGGAAAAAGAACTGTAGGTTGCTGTTGTCATGTAATGTCCATAATATGGTACCTAAGCTGGGCAAGGCGTCAAGAGAATTTAATACCGCCTGCACCGTTTTTAGACGATATTTTATTTGTTTATGATGAAGTGGACGATTAATAAATCATTAAAAGAGAAAATGTTCTTAATTCATCATCCTTCTGCTTTTTATAATTATTTCAAACCTCTAGAATTTAGTTGGACGGCGGCGTCTGAATCTTCTATTTGTGAATGTCCTACAATACATAAAATTATGGTGAAGTCTAGTTTACAATAAAGTCTAATATTTATTTTCTTAAAGTGTAATGTGAGAGCTTGGTGTGAGAATAACATTGTATGCATAGCATAAGCAAAATAACAACCTATATTTTTTTTCTACCATGAAGTGCTCATGAACATTTTAGTTTTTTTTTAAATGGTATTGATATATAAATAAAATAATACAGTAATTGTTGCTGTTTCGACGACCAACTGTCAAACTGTGAACATTATGTAGTGATTGTCTCCGCATTTTTAATTAGTAACAATAGTAGAAAAGTGACCGATCGGAAAAAAAGTGCACTAAAAATAGCAAACAAACAGTGTTGATAAATTTAAACTAATAATCCTTTCGTGGGAAGTGCTAAGTACGACAAAAATTGGAAGTCCAACTACTGTCAAAACCCACAAAAGTTTCCAGGTCAAGCCAAAATCTACCAATTTGGTAGAAAATCGGTACCAAGTATGGACGAACAAACAAAAATGCTGTTGGCCACTGTAAAGGAAGAGATTGAAAAACAAAATGATAAACAAACCCAAACCATAACCGAGACTATAAGCAAAACTATTGAAGAGCAACTGTTACCAATAAAAAAGGAAAACGAAGCTATGAAGTCTGAGATTTTGCTACTAAGATTGAAAGTAAAATATCTGGAACTTGAAACGAGGAAAAATAATGTCTTACTGCACGGGGTTGAAGAAACTGAAAATAACAATCTAGAATTAATGAGTACTGTAATAGAACTATTCAACGTTCCCTGCACAACAGAACAAGCGGAGGAAGAGAAACACGACTGGGATAAATGGGAACTTAGCAGCATATACAGAGTTGGGAAAATGACAGAAGGCAAGATAAGACCTATAAAAATTTCATGTACCCTAACATGGAGAAGAAACGAAATCTTGAAAAAGAAGAAAAACGGAAAAAAAGACTCTTATCCCAAAAATGAAGGAAGCCAGAGCATCTGGAAAGTATGCAACAATAAGGAATGGCAAACTAATTATACGAGACAAAATGGAACCTGAAAAGAGGAAGACAGCCCAATCCACCCCACCTACTCCCCCAGACAACTTCAGCAAAGCCCCTGGAGAACCCAAGTTATACCAACCTGCTAAAATGTCGAGAATCAACCCAGCAGAAAGAATGAGAAGCCAATCAAATCCGAATACAGAGGAGACATCAAAAAACTAGAAATAGGCGGTAGTCGAAATAAAAACAGTAAAACAACGAATACCACCTATTAATTAAATTGAATTAATTTGAATTAGACCACCACCCACCAACCTACAAAAAACCAAACAAACATACACTAGAAAACAACAAGAAAAACAACAATATTAACAGAAAAGAAAAATGTAATGTATTATCAATTAAAGAAAGTATACAAATAATGCAACACTTAATGTTCTAACCCTAAAGTCGGACGAGATCTAACAGAACTAACTAAAGCATTAAATGATATCAAATGGGACATTCTGGGTCTGAGTGAAGTAAGATGAGCTGGAGAAAACATACAAGAATATGAGGACTTCCTTCTATATCACATAGGCGAAAAAGAAGGCCAAAATGGGGTAGGATTTATTCTCAAAAAGCACATGGAACAATATGTTGATGAGTTCATAGGAATTTCGGACCGTTTAGCAGTGCTAAATATAAAGTTACCCAATTACGAAGATATGTGGTCTGTTGTGCAAGTTTACTCTCCAACTGAACAAGCAGACAAAAAGACAATTGAAGAATTCTATGAGAATCTAAACAGTACTATAGAGAGACATACGCATAAAAACTTAATAGTGATGGGAGACTTCAACAGCCAGACAGGTGAAAGCTTGCCAGAAGAAAGACGTGTTCTCGGACCTTTTACATATGGAACTCGACGAAGCAAAAATGGAACAAGACTCATTAATATGTCTTTCGAAAACAACCTCTATATTCTAAACAGCAAATTTAAAAAGAAAGGTTCAAAGAAATGGACATGGGTATCACCAGGAGGCAAATACAAAAATGAAATTGACTTTGTTCTCACCAACAAACCAATGTGTTTCACCAATTTAAATGTTGTGAACAAATTTAATTTCAACACGAACCATAGAATGGTCAGGGCAGATCTTACACTACGACATATAAAGACACAAAGACCCAGGAGGAACTTTGTTGGTAAGTTGAGTATTCAAAACCTAAAAGAAGCTGCAAATAAACTAACCGAAAGATGTGCAGACTTTGAGAAAGAAACCAAGAACCTAGATATTCAACAGAAATGCGACTGGTTTGAGACTTCAATCAAACTAGCAAAAAGTACCTGCACTAATAAAGAAAAGAAGAAAAGCTATTTATCAATAAAAACAAAAAATCTACTCGAAGCAAGGAAACAAGTAATCAGTTCCAGAGACACAGAGAATCATAGAAAACGCATATCAGAGCTGAGTAAAGATATAAAACAGAGTATGAGAAGGGATAGAAAACAAAACAGAAGAAAAAAAATAGAAGAGCAAATCATTAGAACAGGAGGAACAAAAAAAGCATATAAAGAACTGTCAGAATCAAAAGATTGGGTTACAAAAGTTAGAAATGAGAAAGGAATAGAACAAAATAGAAGATCAGACATAAAAGATATTGCTACATCATACTATAAACAATTATATGAGAACACACAAGAAGAACCTGGCAAATTAATAGTACTAAATGATGTTGAGGATGAGAGCATACCCTATATACTGCAACGAGAGGTAGAAGTAGCATTACAGTCCCAAAGTAAACACAAAGCCCCAAGGCCAGATGGCATTGAAAATGAAATCCTATTAATGGCAAAAAATGTCCTGTTACCAATTATCACGAAACTATAATTTAATGAAATTTTCGCAAACAAAATTATCCCGATACAATGGACGCAATCTAATATAGTATTGTTATATAAAAAGGGTGATAAACTTAATATAGGTAATTATCGCCCGATCAGCCTTATGTCCAACTTATACAAAATATTTGCGAAAATACTGCTAAGAAGACTGGAAAGAAAATTAGACGACAACCAACCAGACGAGCAAGCAGGTTTTCGTAGAGGGTACTCAGTATTGGACCATATACATGTTATGAGGCAGATTATAGAAAAATCCCATGAATACAACCAATTATATTACATGGCATATATAGACTACAGCAAGGCTTTCGACTCTTTATTTCACAATAAAGAGTCGAAGTAATATGGCAGGCCCTAAAAGAACAAGGTATCGAAAGCAAGTACATAAGGATACTGAGAGAGATATACAGGAAAAGTACAGCATGCATACAGTTAGAAAAGAAAGGAGAACCATTTAGCATACAAAAGGTGTGCGACCCGCTATCCCCAAAACTTTTTTCTGCGGCCCTTGAGATGATATTTAGAAGACTAAATTGGGACGGATATGGAATAAGTATCGATGGAACTTGGTTAACACATTTAAGATTTGCAGACGACATCGTTCTCTTTGCAAAAACCCCACATGAACTGAATGTAATGGCAAATGACCTGGCATTAGAAAGTCATACGGTGGGATTGAAAATGAACATGGAGAAAACGAAAATAATGACCAACAGACCTAAGAATGAAAACATCAGGGTTGGCCAAAGTGAGATAGAATACGTTGATGAATACATCTATCTGGGCCAAATGATCTCACCCACAGACAACATGGAAAAAGAAATCAACAGGAGAGTATCAAATGGATGGAAAAGATATTGGAGCATGAAGGAAATAATGAAAGATAAAGAACTGCACATTTCCATTAAATCTAAAGTGTTCAACACATGCATTCTTCCTGTATTGATGTATGAATGTCAAACATGGGCTCCTACTAAGTTAAACAGGAATAAATTAAACATATGCCAGCATTCGATGGAGTGAAGCATGATGGGAATCAGGAAAAAGGATTGAGTCAGGTTAGAAGACAGTAGGAAAAACACAAAGGTTCGGGACATAGCAACAAAATTCAGGAAATTAAAGTGGAAATGGGCTGGGCATATGAGTAGAGCGAAGGAAAAGTGGAGCAGGAAGTTCACAGAATGGTACCCCAGGAATGGCATAAGAAAGAGGGGGAGACCCCGCTAAAGATGGGAGGACGACCGGGGCAATTTCGCGGGTGTGACTTGGAGCCGGATTGCCAAGGATAGAAACGAGTGGAAAAGGTTGGAGGAGGCCTTTGCCGATTGGCAATCAGCAGAAGACAATCTAGATTTTATATGACTTAGATATTAAGAAATTGTATTACGTACTGTTGAATAAATGGATTTATTATTAATTGTTGCTGTAACATCAGGCCCAGCTTTCTATGAACTTTCGCCCGTCTCCTTTCCTTCCGATCACTTGAAACAAGTTTCGAAATAAGGTAATTCAAAGGAGAATTATTATAATTTATTTATTTCTTCTTAAAAATAGCTGTAAGCCTTTTAGAATCTTTAGTATTTTTCAGTAAGATATAATTATAAGGTTATAATAACATGTTATTGACAGATAATTTCTGAAAAAGTCAAATTCGGTGACTTTCTTTAAGCTGTATAAAATTATGTTTTATAATAATCAATGTTATTGTAATTATGTCTGACATGTTTGTTGCAAGAGGTGGCAGAGGGAAAATGGAAACAGAAGATGGGCAGCAGCATCTTGCTGATAACAACGCAAAGTAAAGAAATTGCCATTAGCAATACCACCTGCCAAGCATGGCAACTATGTTGAAATTACACCTATGACATAATCTATATCCCCCCTCCCCATAGATTATTTTCAGCAGTGGCCTGTTATAGGCTGTAATGGAATGGGGGCCCAATCTAGCAATGTACCGTAACAAGAACAGTTAAAGCAGAAGAACAGTGATGTAAATCACAAATGATTTAGAAAGGAAATTGCTGTAATCAGATATGCGTGGGCATGATTAGTATTGCAGTAGCATACAGCCTACTTCATCTATATTACATATATGTACAACCAACTTTAATATAAATTAAATGAAAACATCATCAATGTAGTCTTTTTTTTAAATCTTTATTTTAAGATCTTAATCAAAATAAGATTGTTTCACTGTATTTGACATCATTATGAACTAAATAACATTCAATTTAACAAGTAAACAAAAATGAAAAATAATATGTATCTGGTGACTGATGTAGGGAGAATATTATGCTATACAATTTAACCAATAATTTTGTTTCATCGGAATGATCGGATAATTGTAGGATAAAAGCCTTTTTAAACAATTAGTAAAATTAGAAGTTTTGTACAACTGACATAAATAATATAAATAAAATGAGAACATCATTAATGTAGTCAAAGTTAATTAAATATATATTATTATAGATAACTTAAAAAACTACTGGTCAAACCTAGATCAAATATCTATGGGATCAAAGTTCTGAGGTAACACATAAAAAAATAAAGTCGAGTTCAGTCAAGTCAAACAGCCCGTTGAATAGTCTTGTTGAAAACCTCCTTTTTTAAAGTCGGTGAAAAGAAGGTTACAGATGCATTGCAACTTTTATATATGTTTAAATACAATAAAGGAATGCATTATAACTTTTAAATATACTTACCTTTACCTTGTATACCTTTAGACTGAGACACAGTAACAAATGCACTGCTTGGTTAAAGGTTAAGATCATGATACTTTCCCAGATAATAAAGAAACTGTACTACCTTATCTAAAATTATCTTTTATTTTTTTATGCTGGGTTTCTTTATTTCACCATTAAATTGTTTTATTTTTAGATGGATATTTCCATTTCTTGGTCATATGGGCATCTGTAATTCAAATGGAGTCATAAGAGATTTCGCAGGGCCATATTTTGTGTCAGAGGATCTCATGGCATTTGGTAACCCTACAAAGTATTGGCAGCTGTCTCCCCAGAAAGCTACAAATGGACAAGCTGGTTGGGATGCAGCAGTGGCTGAAGCGTCTGAGATTTACAAGAAAAGGATGGTAATATATTTCATATTTTAAGACTTATTTTAAGACTTGTGAACTTAGCGTGAAGCAAATGGAATGGGAAATTCCGCGCTAGATTAGATTAGAATATTACAATAAAGTTACAGCCTATATACATCTAACAGCTGGGCACAGACCACCTCTCATTTCTGAGAGGGTTTTTAGGGCAAGAAATTGTCCTCCGCACTGCCCATAAATGCGTGTTGGCGAACTTCACATGTCTTCGAAATATTTTTTTTGTTCTTATTTCTCAGATATGCAGATTTCGTCACGATGTTTTTCTTCACCGCCGAGCACGTAGTAAATCGACGTTTAAAATTTCAATTAACAAGAAAATGTCCGCCGCGCTGCCCATAATGCGTGTTGACAACTTCACATGTCTTAGAAATATTTTTTTTGTTCTTATTTCTCAGACATGCAGATTTCGTCACGATGTTTTTCTTCACCGTCAAGTATGTAGTAAATCAGTACTTAAAATTCCGATTAACAACTTCATTGGTGCTGGCGGGGTCGAGGCGCTGAGCTACCATAACAAAAATACAAACTTAGAACGTATTGCTAGTAGTTAGTACTAGTTCTGGCTCACTGAGTCAGAAGTGGTACAAGTACAACGTTCGTCGACTCACGAACCTAAAAAAAAAAGAAAAGATTTTGGCATGCTCTGATCACGAATCTGCGGTCCATTTTTGCGTAGGATGCACGGTTCCGGAGATGTGCAAATCAATTAACTCTTATCTAATTGATATCCAGCGAGGGCCTCCACCGTCATTAGCACACCATTGTTCTTATCTATTTATCTATTGTTCACTTAATCCCGTCATTATCTATTCTTCCTCAGCGTTATCAGTGCTATTGTATTACACTCCTTTATTCCTATCTACAACACTAATCTCAATCCTCAATAAAACACATTACCTAATTTTGTTAAAATTTTTATTTACAAAATACAAAATCTTATTACTTATTATCTATAAAATAGGAGCGAAACATCTCATCCACTAAAATATCGTTGTACAATGTGTTCCCTGTAAATATACTCGTAAAACTATGCATTGAACATCCCTGAAACTTATATAGCAAATACATTAAGCAATATTCGCCAGAAACTGAAGTCTATTCATTCAGAATCCTATCAACATTCCAGTTCCATCTTTTACAATTTCTTTTTAAAAACTCTAGATGATATCGTACAGGTGCTCGTCCGTATGAATCAAAATATTGACCGACGTCATTCGTATCGATATATAAAGCTACCCAATGTGGCCCTGGTTTATCATCTGTACCCAAATTGCATATTACCTAGTCAGGTCATAAATTCTATTACATGTTTAATATAAAATAATTGAAACAAGTTTATTCATTATGTAACCATTTATATACCAAAATGAACTTAACAAAACATCGATTCTTATGACACTATAGTTTATTCAAAATGACCTCCGTGATTTTGAATACAGGCCTTCAATCTGCGCGGCCAGTCGTCTATCGCAGCACGAACGAGGTCCATGTCAATATCGGTGGCTACCTTAATCAAGGATGTCTTGAGTGACTCCAAATTGGGATGAGGCTTTGAGCACGCCTTTTCCTCCAAGTGTTGCCATATCTTGTAATCTAACGGATTCAAATCTGGACTGGAGGAGGGCCAGTCTTCGTGCCGGATGAAGTCGATTTCACGCGTCGCCAGCCAGTCTTGTGTGCTTTTCGCTCTATGAGCTGGCGCCGAATCTTGTTGGAATACCCAGTGCCTGTTATTGAACATGCTATGAGAAACAGGTTACACAAGGTTCGTCAGGACTATATTTTGATACACAACTGCATTCGTTTTTACACCTTTCTCACAAAAATTTACCTCTGTTAAGCCCCAATAAGAAACTCCCAACCATATCATGAGCGAGGATAGAAAATGACCTCGTTGGACACGCGGAATACGGTTGCTCGCTTCTTCACTACTGTGTGCGTACACCTTATCATTTTGTTTGTTGTAGCTCTCTTCTACGGTAAAATTTTTTTCAAAGAAAAAAGAATTTCCCGATATTTTTTCCCGCGTACCGCTTCAACAAAGCGCGGCATCTCTTCAGTCTCAGGTCCATTAGACGAGCATTCAAACGATGTCCTGTTTTTTCTTCGATATGCCCGAAGCCCTAAGTCTTCATTTAACACCCTTTTCACCGTGGTTCTGCTTAACCCCATCTGAAGGGCCAACAGTTTCTGCTTACGTTTGGGATTTCTTTGAATTCGCGCCTTCACAGCTTTTATCACTGCTGGAGTCCTAACAGACCGAGGGCGACCACTTCTTGACCTGTCATCTACACTAGAGTCTTCATTGTATCGTTTGATGGTACGATAAACGAATCTTTTGGTTATATTCAAATTTTTCAGTATGTTAAAAATTTTAATTGCCGCGTAACCGCAACGATGCAACGCAATATCTGCAACACGGTCTTCTTTAAGCGTCCACTCCATATTTAAAAATGAGTAAAATTCTAAAAAGTATACAGTTTTATTTTCATGAAACTTTTTTGTGGCCAGCATTCTAAAAGAAAAGTTTTTACTGTGTGACAATACTTATGATCTGACTAGGTATATACGTTGGTACGTGGGTCTACATGGGCAGTCTATTAGCAGCATAAACATTATTTTCTTGATCAATTATAGTGATTTCTAAATATTAAATTGCATTATTTTGTGTTATACAAAACATATTTGAGTCATCAATATACTGAACAAGACGCAACATGAAGTAATGCTGAGATAAGCAACAGAATGTGAGATAAGCTTGTTGACGCATAAAGTTGCTATCAATTCCACTGTAGAAATTCTTTAGATTAGAATTATTACTTACTGGTACTATATAAGACCAAGCAACTGCAGTCATGGAGTTAGTGTATGGTCTAATATTTTTTAGATTTTGTGTCATTTTGAACCAAAATGTTAAAAGTATTTTGTTTTGTATTGTTTTGTATGTTTGTTCCAACAAACTTCACACAACAATGCTTCATTACTTCCTATCATCTCATTTCTTCCTTCTACTCTTGTCTTCCTGTAATTTAAGTAAACAGAATCACATTCACTAATGATCAACTAATGACTGTCATTGTTAAAAAAGTATTTTTTAACTTTTTCACTTTCTGCTATTGTCTTTGTATTTATGGCTAGGAAATGTCCGCGACGCGGCCTCAATGTGTGTTGGCGAACTTCACATGCCTTCTAAATTTTCTCAGACATGCCGGTTTCCTCACGATGTTTTCATTCACCGTGGTAAATTAGCACTTAAAATTGCAATTAACAATTTAATTGGTGCCGGCGGGGATCGAATCCGAGTCGCCTACTGTGAAATTTACAGCTTGCGCTAACCATCTGAGCTACCACGGCTTAATCATATACACACACAATATATTAAATATAATTTGTTAACACTAAATCATACACACGTAAGAAAATAATAGAAAGAAAAGTAAGTTTGTCAATAGATTAAACACTTACATCCATGGCCTTTGATGCGTTGAAGTAACACAAATGTAGTATTGATAGATCCACTGCGGTCAAACGACCATACACTAACACCATGACTGCAGTTGCTTGGTCTTATATAGTACCAGTAAGTAATAATTCTAATCTAAAGAATTTCTACAGTGGAATTGATAGCAACTTTATGCGTCAACAAGCTTATCTCACATTCTGTTGCTTATCTCAGCATTACTTCGTGTTGCGTCTTGTTCAGTCTATTGATGACTCAAATACGTTTTGTATAACACAAAATAATGCAATTTAATATTTAAAAATCACTATAATTGATCATTCCTATGTAGTCATTGAGTAGAGTACGAATACAAAGCAGTAAATCAGATACACGAACAACACGAAAAAACAGAAAATAATGTTTATGCTGCTAATAGACTGCCCATGTACACCCACGTACCAACGTATGTACCTAGTCAGGTTATAAGTATTGTCACACAGTAAAAACTTTTCTTTTAGAATGCTGGACACAAAAAAGTTTATTGAATTCGAATTTCGAATTGTTCATGAAAATAAAACTGTATACTTTTTAGAATTTTACTCATTTTTAAATATGGAGTGGACGCTTAAAGAAGACCGTGTTGCAGTTATTGCGTTGCATCGTTGCGGTTACGCGCCAATTAAAATTTTTGACATACTGAAAAATTTGAATATAACCAAAAGATTCGTTTATCGTGCCATCAAACGATACAATGAAGACTCTAGTGTAGATGACAGGTCAAGAAGTGGTCGCTCTCGGTCTGTTAGGACTCCAGCAGTGATAAAAGCTGTGAAGGTGCGAATTCAAAGAAATCCCAAACGTAAGCAGAAACTGTTGGCCCTTCAGATGGGGTTAAGCAGAACCACGGTGAAAAGGGTGTTAAATGAAGACTTAGGGCTTCGGGCATATCGAAGAAAAACAGGATATCGTTTGAATGCTCGTCTAATGGACCTGAGACTGAAGAGATGCCGCGCTTTGTTGAAGCGGTACGCGGGAAAAATATCGGGAAATTCTTTTTTCGGATGAAAAAAAATTTACTGTAGAAGAGAGCTACAACAAACAAAATTATAAGGTGTACGCACACAGTAGTGAAGAAGCGAGCAACCGTATTCCGCGTGTCCAACGAGGTCATTTTCCATCCTCGCTCATGGTATGGTTGGGAGTTTCTTATTGGGGTTTACCAGAGGTACATTTTTGTGAGAAAGGTGTAAAAACGAATGCAGTTGTGTATCAAAATACAGTCCTGACGAACCTTGTGTAACCTGTTTCTCATAGCATGTTCAATAACAGGCACTAGGTATTCCAACAAGATTCGGCGCTATCTCATAGAGCGAAGACTTCATCCGGCACGAAGACTGGCCCTCCTGCAGTCCAGATTTGAATCCGTTAGATTACAAGATATGGCAACACTTGGAGGAAAAGGCGTGCTCAAAGCCTCATCACAATTTGGAGTCACTCAAGACATCCTTGATTAAGGCAGCCACCGATATTGACATGGACCTATGTTTGTTAAGTTCATTTTGGTATATAAATGGTTACATAATGAATAAACTTGTTTCAATTATTTTACATTAAACATGTAATAGAATTTATGACCTGACTAGGTAATATGCAATTTGGGTACAGATGATAAACCAGGGTCACATTGGGTAGCTTTATATATCGATACGAATGACGTCGGTCAATATTTTGATTCATACGGACGAGCACCTGTACGATATCATCTAGAGTTTTTAAAAAGAAATTGTAAAAGATGGAACTGGAATGTTGATAGGATTCTGAATGAATAGACTTCTTCGAATATAGAATGTATTTGCTATATAAGTTTCAGGGATGTTCAATGCATAGTTTTACGAGTATATTTACAGGGAACACATTGTACAACGATATTTTAGTGGATGAGATGTTTCGCTCCTATTTTATAGATAATAAGTAATAAGATTTTGTATTTTGTAAATAAAAATTTTAACAAAATTAGGTAATGTGTTTTATTGAGGATTGAGATTAGTGTTGTAGATAGGAATAAAGGAGTATAATACAATAGCACTGATAACGCTGAGGAAGAATAGATAATGACGTGATTAAGTGAACAATAGATAAATAGATAAGAACAATGGTGTGCTAATGACGGTGGAGGCCCTCGCTGGATATCAATTAGATAAGAGTTAATTGATTTGCACATCTCCGGAACCGTGCATCCTACGCAAAATGGACCGCAGATTCGTGATTAGAGCATGCCAAAATCTTTTTTTTTTTAGGTTCGTGAGTCGACGAACGTTGTACTTGTACCACTTCTGACTCAGTGAGCCAGAACTGGTACTAACTAACTACTATTGCTGGAGGCGTATTAGTTGCAGATAGCACAGACAAGAGTATTATAGATGTCTTGAATTTCCATCGTTCTATCTTAATATTTTTTTGCAATGAAATTTTTTGATCTTTCGGCGTGCGAGGCCCTTTGGGCCGCGAGACCGTAGACGGTCGTCCACGCCTTGCGCTGCCCAAGCTTGTTTGTCACCCTTATCCTATATAAAAAAATTAATATTATGAACTAGGTCAACATCTTAGCTCTCAAGGGTGGCAACACATCTGTAGTTTTCTTTGTTTGAATTGGGTCTCCAGTAGCCCCTCATTATCAGATGGACTGTAAGTTAATCAGTCACTTCAATTTACATATGTTGGAGTATTTTATAATGATACTTATTATTAATAGCTGGGGCAAATGCATTGTATTTATTATAAAGATATTAATTAATTTGTAACCTTCCGCCAACTAAATACAATGATGTGTCTTACCTAGATTGAAGAGCACCTCCCGCCCTCCCTCATTTGCATGCACCAATCCCGTCACCACTAATCTCAGCACCAGTACTCCCAAATCACTACTCCCGGCACCACTACTTCCGGCACCAACAATCCAGGAAAGATACATCATTGATGATAATACGACACGTGTTTCGCTTCTACACGAGGCATCCTCAGGTGATGTAGAGTCTACACTTTATTATAATGGACTTCTGCAAAGTAACGCCAGATGATATCAATTATCATAAATTTTATTTATTTTACAGGTTTCAACCAAATAGTTAACAGCTATTAATGATAAAACTGGTGTAAATATTATTATAACATGTTTGTTCATCATCATTCAGCGATAGTTCACTTTCACATTTCTCATAGAGCAATTTCAGGTTCTTGTGTTATTGTATTTTAGGTTTACATGTATTCACAATGCTTTTTTTTCTTTTTAGCATATAATATTCTATGACAATTGCCACTCCCACGTGGCCACTGCACTGAACATCATGAACTATGGGGGTTGTAAAAACTGGAATATGGTTAAATTGGCATTCTACATGATACCCTACTCAAAATATGTGAGGTATGAGTATGTTTTTTTTACTATTCTAAATCTTGCCTTGGTTACCTTGGTAAGTGGTGATGGCGTGATGTATTCGTAGATGGTATTCATCACTTAACTTGGGAAGAAAGGTTCTCGGGTGGCAGCCTCGTACCGGTAGGCGTAGTGTAGGGCGACCCCCACTAGATGGAGTGACGACCTGGTAAGACATGCAGGAAGTCGATGGATGCATGTGGTTCAGGACCGTGCTTTGTGGCATTACTTGGGGGAGGCCTATGTTTAGCAGTGGACTTGTGAAGGACTGTAATGATGATGATTCATCACTTACGACGCGCAATAACATGCGACCGCATGGCACTCTCCGTCTTTTTTTTATAGGATAAGGGTGACAAACGAGCACACAGTCCATCTGATGGTAAGTGGTTGCTTGGCCCATAGACATCTACATCTATCCTCGATTACGAATCAAAACGCAGATGCGTTGTCACCCGTGCGGACTAAGATGGAATGCCTCGTTTCCAGTAAAATGGGTCTCCGGTTCTCTACACTCACTATACGAACATGTGAGAATCCTTTGGTCGAACCGACCCATTCGTGCTACAACTATACTACTAATATAGCTCCAGCATGGCTCTACCACTTCGAAAACCGTGCTGCTTCTTGTTTCTTCCTTCATCCATCACACCTCTCAAGTCTTTTTTTTAATAATATAAGGGTGACAAACGAGTACACAGTTCACCTGATGATAAGTGGATCCTGTGGCCCATAGACATCTACATTTTTAACCTCGCTTAAGAATCAAATTGCAGATACGTTGTCACCCTTGAGGACTACGATGGAATGCCTCGATTCCAGTAAAACGGGTCTAAAGTCGCGAGAGATGTTACAATACAAGCTCATATCAGCAACGTCTTGGTGTTCAGGTCTCATGTTATTGTGCACGTCATGTAGAACTTATCTATTTATTACGTTTATTTAAAAAGAATACTAGTAATGCAATTAACATTACTAATGTTTCCTCTAACCACTCCTGATAAGCTCAAAATGCTTGTGTTACAAGTGGTTCACGACAATAGTTGAATAGCGGATTCGAACTCACAATCGTTTGTGTTCACCGTCCTCATCCTGCTATTAGACTAACTGACTGCCTCGTTGGTCCAGTGTTTGTATAGTACGTGTCAAATCGATTGAGAAAAACGGACAATGACCTTTCGGTCGTTTAACCAGGTGTTACAAACATTCAATATATAGCACATTTTATATGTAGTACTTTATTTATTTATAATGATTTTTCATAATGATTGATATAATATATATATTTATTAACTATTATTAAAAAGTTATGTAAAAGATCGCTGTAGAAGAAAAATTATCTATTGTTATAAAGTACTTTATTCATTTAACAACAAAAAGCATTAATTTATAACACTTATAAAGATTCGAGCGATAACGAAACCGAGTAAGTACGTACTTATTCAAAAGATAAAACTTTATTTTCAATATTTAACAATATTGAACTTTATTTTTATCCGGTGCACGCGGACCGGCCCAAAAAAGATGACGCATCTGGCTGCCATTGTCACGTTTCTTTTAGAACGAACTGACGTAACGCGCGTTTTGTTTATTATAAAGGGATGAATTTGCAAAAGCTCAATATGGTGATTATATTGCTCCAGATATTTTTTTAATATAAAATTGTTATTAAATGAATTGCTGCGTTACTTACCATAAATTGAAATATAAAATATAACACATTTTTCGCGATGTACCGTAAGATTTTACTATGTTTATAGGAACCATAGACAATATTTAAATATTGTTATCACATCTAAATTGAGATTTTGTAAGTTACGCCTTTTGACGCTCGGCTCATATCTGAGGTCATTGTCCGTTTTTCTCAATCGATTTTGCACATACTATAGTAGTGTTTGTGATGATCATGAGGTCCTGGGTTCAAATCCAGGGTCGGACCAAAAAAGCAATTATTGAGTTTTTCTGTCAAGAAATTCTCAGTAGCTGCCTGGAGTTAAGAAATTAGCAGTGTCTCCCCCCGTGCCTCAGAAAGCACGTAAAGCCGTTGGTCCTGCTCCTGATCTCTCTCTGGTCGTGTCGGTTTACCGTCCCATCGGATTACGAGAGAGAGGGAATAGAGAGAGCACCTGTGCTTGCGCATACACTTGGGCACTATAATCATGTCGTGCAATGATTCATTGAGGCAGGCCGCTGTGACCGAAATTCGATCTGAAGGAAATTATTAGACAAAATTTGCGCATATATTATCAACATTACATATGAGGTCTTTATTTGTTAATGATAAGAGTTGATTGTAAATTTTTTTATTACTTATTGTACTTGGTCATATCGTAAGTTCTGTTAAAAACTTTTTATAAAATTAATGATACACTTTTTGATAATTATATAGAAATTATATATGAAATGAAAGGTAATTTAATTTAGAATACAATTTAATTTACATTATTCAAAATGCCCTCCCCTATTTTGAGTACCTGCCCTTAATCGACGCGGCCAATCATCAATCGCAGCACGCACCACACTCATATCTATTTTTGCCGCTGCTTTAGCCAAAGATGCTCGGAGAGATTCCAAATTCTGATAAGGTTTAACGCAGACTTTCTCCTCCAAATGATGCCATATCTTATAATCCAGTGGGCTTAACTATGAACTAGAAGAAGGCCAGTCTTCATGTCCAATAAAGTCAATTCCATGGGCGGTCAACCAGTTTTGCGTGCTTCGTGCCCTATGATCTGGTGCAGAGTCCTGTTAGAATATCCAATGTCTGTTTTTGAACATTGTTTCAGAATGAGGTTCCACTATGTTTGTTAGGACGATATTTTGATACACCTCGGCACTGGTTTTTACACCTTTTTCACGGAAAAACACATGAGCGACGAAGGATAATGTGCTCTTTGAACCCTCGGAATACGCGTGCTGGCTTCCTCACTGCTGTGGGTATTCACCTTATTATTTTGTTTATTATAACTTTCTTCGATGTTAAAAAAAATTCGTCCGAAAACACAGTTTCGTGGTATTTTTTTCACGCGTATCGCCGTAACAAAGCGCGGGCTCTATCCAGCCTAATTTTTTTTCAAACGCTCGTTCAAAAAATGTCCGGTCTTCTTACGATACGCTCGTAGTACTAGGTCTTCATTGATCACTCTTTTGACCGTGGTTCTGCTTAGGCCATCTGAAGAGCTAAGATTTTTTGTTGACGAACAGCATTTCGTTGGATTCGCGCCTTCACTGCTTTGATGATCGCGGGTGTCCTAACTGTACGAAGTCGGCCGGTCTTCGTACGATCTTCGAAGCTTCAATTTTTAGTGAATAGCTTGATAGTACGATAAATCGTAGGATTATTTTCAATTTTTGTAGAATATTGAAAATCTCTTGTGGCGCGTAACCTCAGCGGTGCAACGTGATAACCGCTACTCTATCTTCTTTCTTCGACTACTCCATATTTGAAAATGAATGTCTTTTATTTTCGACAAGCGCAAACGTTATATTTTTAAAATTGGTGAAGTTCAATAATAAAGTTATGACAGAACTTAAGACCTGATTAAGTATTTATTCGTGATTTTCAAATTTTAAAGTTATTTATGCATATTTTTCATACATACTGTTATACCTATATGCCCCTTTTTTATAGGTTTTTTTACCTACATGGTGTTTATTTATATATCATAAGTTATACTAGTTTTGTAATAAAATTTTCGTTTTTCAGCTTTGGAGCATTTCTGAAGACGTGGTTACCGTTTTTGATCATTGTCGCCTTTATATGTGGTTTGGCTGCAATTATTTAAATTATATAAAGAAAATTAAAGTTATTGATGTATTTTAACTACATTTTTGTACATTTATTCAAAGCACAAAGAGGTAACAAAGCAATATTTCTTAGTATCAAGTTCCTCTTGAGATATTTTTTCATGGTATCACAATGGATCCCTGGTCCACTCATTTTTTACTATGGTTCAATAAAAAAGTAGCATTATTATCAGTCACAGGACGAGGTGTTTATATCGCGTATTGGATTAAATAATTACTGAATATTTGTACTAAATAAGCATTTTCATTTTAAGTACTTAATAGATATTAGTGAATATGTTTAAAAACTGTAAAAATTTAAAATTATAATGACTAAAGATTATTAAGATAATGGAAATAAGGTTCAGAAATGAGTACTCCCTAATATATACAATGAGTGCAAGTTTGTGTATAAACAATGTAGCTTTTGTCTCTCTATTAGTCTAGGGTCCAATCAATGACGTATTATATATAGACACGTCATGAACGAACATCGCGGCGCTTAAAAACGGCGAAAATACTAGAACTACTTATACGCGTGAAGAACGAGAAAGAAAATATGACACCGTACGGCGGGATGCCTGTTGCTAGAGGGAGACAAATAACATCTTCAGTTGCTCATTGGTCGAGCGCATGAGTGACGTAGCTATCAGAGGCATATGGGGAAAAAAGGACATTCGATTTTCTAGAGTTTATAAAATAGTTGATATACCGTATAACGTATTACCTACTTTAAATAAAGTAATAAAAAAATATGAATGCTGTATTCCGCAACAGAAATTAATTAATTATTGTTACATATTAAATTAAAAAATAAAACAAAATATCTTTATAAATATAATAAAACTTTTATTTAATAATGAAAAAACATTAACATTCTGATAGGCATTCCAACAGTACGGTAATCGAAGTCGTATATTATCGACTTATGTTGCAGATACATATTTTTAAATCCCTTCAAACTTATTTCTTTTTTGCCTCTTATAATTTGATTCAGAGCTTTTGTGTGCGAAATGTAGGCGAACATTGATAAATTTCTCAATGACCGCGCGAATAAGGTGCACTCTATGATCAAATATGGGATGTTGCTCTAAAGAATGTTGATGTAAAGAACCAAATACGTCATTGGAGCTGATAAGCGACTTTAAAATACGGTTTTTTAAAATTTGGATATCTTTGTGATCGGGAAGGATAATGTGACCCATTTCTTTAATGTGGTTTTTAATTATAGATTCTGACTTCAGACAGATTTGGAATACATCCTCACTCGGGAAACATAGTCCACCAATATTTTTTAAAATAATCAATTTATGAAACCACAATTTGTTATTACAATACAGACTATCGGTGCATGTCGAACATTTCAATATTCGTATTGAACTATATTGAAAACTTCAGCCAGTTTTCTGGATACCCATCCTGAAATATAACCGATAATCTGTTCAGTGGTTTTTTAATGCTTTCTTGATTTAACATTGTCGAAAACACTTCGACATTTGTGTTAATAGCATTTTCTACAGCAGTTGCATTAATTAACCCAGTATCATTCTCGATAGAGTCAATCTCCTCATCCATAGTTCTTCTACTTACTGTAGAATTAATTTTGTGAACTGCAGACGAACACGTTAATACAGTTATGTCTTCTAATGGCAGGCAGTTTCCTAAAAACGAAGATTTCATTTCCAGGTGTTGAAGGATTTTTTTGAAAATTCCCTTAAACTGGATAACGTTTGGATTATTGTTATAACCTCCATGTCGCCTGATAGCACCGAACAACATTTCAATGTGATCTTGAGACAACCTGTAAGTTGCGATGTATCGCAAATGTTGTCCTTCGACCAAAGTTGTGTATAGATGTTTTAAACTTTCTATACAAATGAGAAAGACTAAAAAGCCTGTTTTATTTTTAGATTCAACAATTTTTTTCTTAATTATTTTTATGGTGATTCGTTTACGAACCTCGCGTCTATAGTTAATAAAAATGTAAAGATTCAATATATAAAGTTTCGCTTTTTCTAGAAAAGCTATGATGTCATTGGCGTTTTTTTTTTGAGAAAGTGGTTTTTTCATGCCGTACAAATCGGATGATTTAGAGTTAAAAACATCAAATAAATTATTAAAAATTTCTATAAAATCTACCGTCCCTTTAGTGTCCACGAAAAGGTAAGATGTTAAAATCTCGTCACACAATTTGAGAGCATTTGCAACACTCATGCTCATGATTTGTGTTGCCAATTTGACTTTCATCACTTCATTTCTAAAATAAATGTGACGAGGGGTGATTTTGTTAGCAAAATTAAGTCCAACATTTTTTTGAAGCTTAACTAAATTTTCTAATAACTGCCTGCAAATCGTCTTTCCACTCCCGTCAAATAATTGTCTTTTAGATTCAAATGAATTTCTTACTAATTTAATCATGTGACAAGGCTCAAACATAATTGCAACATCTAAATCACATTCCGGGTGTCTGAATGTTGTTTTAAGTTGTGATGGTTGTTTAAGATCACAACCTAATAAATTAGCTGCATTTATATTAGATGCACAGCCGTCAAATGTTATGGCTACAATGTCAACTCCCACACGGTAGCATTCACTTAGACATGTTTTCAGTAAATTTGCCCGAGTTTCAGCTGACATTCCGTTAACAAGAAAATATGCTACTGGGATTCCCCAACTTTCGTTCATACATACTAATATAAAAACATATGCCTGAGTCGCTATTTCACACGATTTTGCTGATCCAGCACCAAAGTCCACGACACCTGCAGTTTTTTTTCCTGTCCACGTAGTTTGGTGACGAAGAGCCATCTCGTCTGCAATTAACGTGCACAATATTCGCTGGCCACTATGTTTATGTTTCTTTTCTAAAACATCTAACGCTTGTTTATTAAACCCAGGATCACCCGAGCTGTTTTCGTACCACTTCCCTATAACACGAGGATGTGGTAAAGATCCATTAAATATCTGTCTTACATATTTTTAGGCAGCTACGGAATAATAGTGCAGGGTGACTGCAAATTTTCTTAACGCTGGGGTATATTTTTGACGATAGCCCTTAATCTTGCTCTTTTGAGTCAGTCTATTTATAAATTCTACTCTTTCGGCTTTAAGATTCAGTTCATTGATCTGGTCAACAGTAAAAAAAATTTTTTTGGTGCTCAGAAACCAATTGTTTAAGTTATTGCATTTTTCTTTTAGCCTTTTACTTTTTTTTACTAAATTATAATTCTTAAATGCGTTTTTCTTAGGAAAGTTTACTAATCTTTTTCTTCAAAATAGCTTTCCTTGGCGTTTCAAAAATTGAACCTTCTTCTGACACTTGAACATGTTCCAAACTTGTTGGTGATGAAATAATATTTTGTTCTTCTTGCTAAAAAAAAAGTATAAAAAATCCGGTTATTTCATGAAAACCAATACATAATGTGTTTAAAAATGACGTATAATTTTACCATAATAATAGAAACTGCAGTCTTTTTTATTATTCGATAATTTTTCTTCGTCACATATATATCGCTAGCTGAGAAATGCTTTGAGCAAACTTTAGTGTGACGAATATAATAATATACGGCGTTGGTAGCCAATCGTTTTCACGTCTTTGAACCCTTATTATGTTAAGCTACTTTTCTTTTAGTAGCCCATCTCAACAAGTACATATTATATTCAAACAATATTATAAATTCTATCAAAAAAAAAACACTAGTGTAATAGTATCCCAACCTCCCCTAACGGCACGTGACTACTAGCTGCATGCGCCGGCCGCCATTAGACGGCGTCGTCGAATAAAATGAAATGAAAATAGGTAGTTTTGTGAACTTACGCATGAAATGACACATTTTTGTCTTTAACTTTTGGGGTATAATTTGTACATCGTCTGAAAACACACGACGGCATGTTTTCTTTATGTCTTGCACAGGTTTACACACACGAATCACGATATAATAAATTAAAAACAAACGTAGCGTCGCGCGACAGGTTGGTGCGTGACTAAGCGCGATGTGGCCGGTATAGCTATCTCATAATTTGCGTATTATGAAGTCATTGCATCACTTTCATTTTGACACTCCCTCAGTCATCCATGAGCTCCACCGACAAAGGAATAAGCCACGCCCCCACACTACGACTTATTTTCAAGGTATCCTCTTAATTGCCTCTTTAATTGTGATGTATGTTTTCAAGCAGGGGCAATATTTTAAGTCGGCCCTGCGAACCCCAACCCCGCCTTAAAAAAAAAAAAAAAAAAAAAAAAAAAAACCCCCCCCCCAACACCCCCACAACCCCCCCCCCCCCCCCCCCCCGCCCCCCCCTAAAAAAAAAAAAAAAAAAATTAAAAAATTAAAAACAAAAAAAATTTAAAAAGTTACTCCCTATCAAAAAAAAAAAAAAAAAAAAAAAAAAACCCCCCCCCCCAAAAAAAAAAAACCATAAAAAAATATTTGATAAAAATAAAAAAATATATTCCCTTTTCCCCCCGGAAAAAAAAAAAAAAAAAAAAACAAAAACAAAAAAAAAAATTTTTTTTTTATTTTTTATAAAAAATTAAAAAAAAATTTTTTCCAGACGGTAAAATGGTCATCCAGTATAAAATATATTACAATTTTTATTCAAGTCTATGAAATGTTCCAGAAAACAAATACTATTATGGCTTTTTTTAAAGTCAGGAAACATCCACCATTTTTTTATACTTGCGAAAGTCACTTTTCAATTTTATTATAAATATACATATTTATTATCAGGTCAAGCTTCGATTCTGGAAAAACAACGATTATCTCTCTTCTTTTTTTTTCGCTTTTACATGGTCTATAAATTACCAAAACATAGAGTGAGAAATCACTTATAGACTTCTTTTGTTTATAATTTGTATTTTATGGCCCATCCAATTAGCGCAGTAGTCCACTTCGAAGCGGTACCTATCCTTTGATCCATCTATTTGGCGTGTGCCGTTGTCAGTATTTCAAAGAATACGCAGTCTCAAAATTATTTTTTTTTTCTCTTACTCATG